TCATCCAAAACGACAGCTAAGGAGGTTTTGGAGCGTTGGGTTGCAACCTACGGCTGCCCAGTGGCCGTCACCACCGACAGAGCTTCCCATTTTGAAGGGTCATTTAAAGCAATACTCACTATGTCAAGGTGCAAACACGCTCGCACAACCGCATATCATCTAGCGGCCAACGACATGGTTGAGCGTTCCCATATGCAAATCAAAGCAGCCCTCAAGGCTCATCCCGGTTCAGAATGGCATGGAGCTCTTCCGCTTGTCCTGTTGGGCATTTAGAGTACGATAAAAGCCGACTTGCACACTACACCGACTGCTCCGGCCCTCGGCTGCACGTTACGTCTTCCGGGTGAATTCGTTACATCTATACCCCAACGTAGCTATAATTACTCAAATTTAGCGCAACGACTAGCGCTTCATATGTGTGAGGTACACGCTGCTACCACAAGGCAGCAAACAAAACTCATTTAGGTACCGAAGGATCGTACGCGTTTCACACACGTTCTTCGCGCAGATAGCACCCGCATGTCTCTACAGGCACCATACACCGGTACGCATAAGGTTAACATGCGTAAAGATAAGTACACCATAATAGACGTTAACGGCAAAACGAAGTCCGTTAGTTTAGACAGACTAAAACCGGCGTTCTTTAAAACCAATACCTCTTCTATTACCACTAAGGTAGCTGCAGATTTTCGTCGTTATACCCCATGCCAACTAGACCTAGAGAGAACCACACTTCGAAATCACCATCAATAATGGTAAAGCACGACCGCCGCGGTCGCGAAGTTCGTAAACCAGTTCGTTTCCAGTGTTAACATAGTACACTGTCGATCTACCGAACTTTTCTCTGCCAAGTAGTTTTTATTCTGCTCAATCTTAATGGATTCCTTACGCTCAATCGTTGCTCATAATTAGCATATTTTTTACATAAAGGAAACAAAAAAACAAACCAAATGCATTTTTCCCTCTCATTCATTTTTGATTTTTGTGTTCACCTTCACCGATTAGCTCCAACAAGAGCTGCGTTGAAGTTCTCTTCTTTTGTTTTCCAGAAACAAAATCAGTGGCGAAGAGAACACGAACCGATTACATGGGAGAACCTAAACAACAGGAGAACTGCTATTTGTCCCTCACCCCCAGTCAACCTACCGATCCAGCATACTGAGTGTATTAAAGATCTTTTTCTGACAATCCCGGTCAGCGTTTTACAGGCTCGTACCCGGCTGTGACGGACGTATTTTCAACGCATCCGTTTTCGTTTAGAACCAACGGGCAAGCAGTAAAACCTCGACGGACTGCAGACATCTGTTTGTTTCATATATCCTCACATCATCATCCGGACTACTAGACAATTGCTTTACCTACTTAATTTTCAAGACAAAACGACTGCACCTACGCACACTTATCGTAGACTCTTCTTAGGCTTCTAGGGAGGGAGCTCTGTAGTGACAGTGTCAACCCTTTTCGCTCATGTATCGATCTTTGGAAACTTGTTATTTTACCGGACCAAGATTATCTCATTGGTCACGGTACGTTGACTTTCACTTTTTGCACGCTTACTTACGTGTTCGCTCCTCTCTTTGTTCTCTAGCTCTTTAGATTACAAAAGTTGTTGCGTTTTCGTAATACCAGGCGTTCTGTTTTGGTCCGTTACTTCGTCCGTTGCTAGACGTACGAATTCGTGGACATCATTAGCATAGAAAATAAAGGCTCCACCATGGTGCTGTAGGTTAAGATTGCATGCGTTGGGAAAACGTGAGAAGAGAAACGAGAGATGTGGGATAAGAGCGACAAGCAGGAGAAAGTATAGGTGCCCCCAAGTGGATGGATTCACGGGGATTGACGGGCTTGGGAACCGAAGTTTTGCAGTAGCTCGGGTTCTGGTGGTATATATACTGTTCGGTGACGGACGGAGGTCCTCGGGGTAGTTGTCCGTACTCGGTGTCCGATTGTGTCTAAGAAAAGAGAGTTCAGGTCAGGTCTTGAAGTTTTGAAGTAGTACTCGGGTTTGAGGCTTGCGCCCAATATTCCCGGTTCTGTATTTGTCTTCTTTACTGCTGTTCGTTGCACGAGCTGAGAGGGATGTTATTGAAAAAGGGAGCTGGCTTTAATATGAAGCCGCTGGGTTAAGGGTGCATGCATCGGGAAAAATGTAGAAAAAGAAAGGGGGATACTAGAGGAGGAGGTTACATGGAAAAGCAGGATAAAGGGGGGTGTCTTTCAGAAGATGGAGGCCAATTAAATCTGAGGGATGGTAAGCCCTAAGTGTCAGTCTACAAGGTTTTTAAAGACCCTTTTGGAGGAGGAGTTCACAATCTCTAGTGAAATTGGTTCCATTCTGAGACGACCTTGTACGCGAAAGAGTTGGAGTGAATGAAGGTTCTGAGCCGGTGTTTGAAGAGTTTTCTTGGGTTTCCCCGTAAATGTTCCAGGCTAGAGCTTGTAAAAAAACGGTCAAATTGGCCTGATGAGAAAAGATTATGCAGAAGGAAAAGATTCCCTCTGATACGTTGCATATTCAGGGGATACATTCGGATGTTTTAGGGATTTCTGACAAGCCATGTATTAGTTTCTCGGCCCTTCGCTGCATACGTTCTAGAGAGTCACGGTCGCGAATGAGACCAAAATGTATAATTTGGCTGCCATATTCTAAAAGTAGGTGTATGTATGTTTCATAGGGGGAAGTAAAGTCCTCTTTGGTTATACTCGGGGAAGACCGTTTGATAAGGTTTAATATACGAAAAGCGGTTTTACTTGCATTTTGGTTGTATGAAGAAAACGAGTGATTGCTATTCAGCCGAAAACCAAGGAATTTGTGCTGATCCACCAGTTGGATTTCGGCTGAACCCTTTACTTAGAACGGTTGGCCAAGAGCGTTACCAAAGGATATGGTTGCACATTTTTCACCATTGATTGGTGATCTTCAGTCGACTGACCAATTTTTGATTTGGTCAATTATTGACTGCATTTTGGATGCATCTGTGCTTCAGATAGTGACTCATCCACGTTTAAGGAGATCATGAAAATAAATCAGAAATAGGATGGGACCTAGTACTCTGCCCCGTGGGACTCCTTTTGAGGCTTGGGAGGGCGAATAAACGGATGTGCCTATTCGAACTCCAAAGGAGAGGTTCAACAGAAAACTAGTGAACCTGGAAAGCAATCGGCCAGTGATGACATATCTCTCTAGTTTGTACAGGAGAGGGATGTGTGGCACTCTGTCGAAGGTTTTGGCAAAGTCAATGAAGATCGCGTGCGAAATATGACCTTCGTCATAAGCACGGGTTAAATTATTCATTACGGTCAGCATATTGGAGATGCATGACCTTTTGGGGAGGAAGCCGTGTTAGGGAGAGTCTACCAAACCATTCTCAGTTAGATGCCTCAGAACACGCCGTTTGAGGGAACGCTCGGAGATCTTACTGGGAATGCTGGTTAGGTTGATAGGCATATAACTAGTAGGCAAGTGTCGATCAACTTTCTTATCGATAGGGATAACAGTTGCTTTCTTCCAATGTTGTGGGAGGGTTCCTGTGTCCATGCACTTTTTAAAGAGTTGGGCATTTATGGTAGTCAACACGTCCGCGGATTCTTTCAGTATACGAGAGTGGATTTCATCTGGACCCATTGAGCTGAAGGAGTTCACGCGTCTGAGTTAATCTTCTACTTCTGATTCTGTCAAGACAACTTGATCGAACGGGGATTGGTAGGTTACGGGATGGAGATTGGGATGACTGGCTGGAGAGGGGATGTTAAAAGTTTAGTTGAAATAGGACCGGAACAATTCCGCTACTTCTGCAGATGGGGTGGCTGGGGTACCGTCGGGTTTAGATAGAACAGTGGCGAATGGGCTGTTTTGCCGGATTTGTCGCATAAATTTGTACAGGACTGACCGGTTTACCCGTACCCTGGCCAGAATTCCCCTCTGTTGGCTTTTCTTGAACTCTCGAATCCTTTCTTTGCATAAATTGCGAATGCGGATGAAGCCGTTTGCATATTCCGTTTGACCCGCTAATTTGTACCTAGCAGAGGACCGTAAACATTGTTATAAAAGATGACGAATAGAACGCGGTAAGGGTTTTCTGTTTGATGAAGATTTACGGACGCGGGGCACCAGAAGATGGTCCGCTGTGCGCACCTCCACTACCTTTCTGTTCAGCAGCAGGTGCTTGCATTTGCTGGCGTTCAATGGTAGATCCCATATGTCTGCCCCGCCATGAATTGCGTTTAATGCCTTCTGTAGGTCCCCCATGATGGATCGTCTATTACTTTGAGGTCGTCTGAGAATAGGAATCCGGGGCTCCGGAAGACCACGGTAATGTCATTAACATACAGCACAAAAAGTATGTGACCAAGGACTGAGCCCTGAGTGACCCCAGTTTAGGGTGCTGCCAATTCCGAGGTTTCCTGTTCCATACATACACGGGACGTCCACTCGTGTAGTAACGCTTCGATCCATCTCACAACCTGCTGGTCTTTTGGCAGGGCTTCCAGTATGCGCATGAGGAACCTGTGTTTGAATGAGTTGAAGGTGTTGTATTCAATAGAACTCTTAATATGCAAGTAAGTAAATCATTTTAATTATCACAAACCAGTAGCATGATAACACATGTACAATATTAAAAGGATGTCATCAGCCTGTACTGGCCACACAAGTTATCAGCAGTCAGCCATTCAATAACAAACAGAAACGCGTTGCAGTTTGATTCGCCATTATAATGCAGGTCACATATGTGGGAAGTCCGTGTCATGTGCGTATATGTTTGTATGCCTGTGTGTGCGCCTGTGTGTGTACATTAAGCATTGATGTTGCGCGTTCAGTGGAAGCAATGTATAGCTATCTAACAAATGCATTAGGCCACGGAACAGAAGCCTTTCGTGAAATAAAAGTAGCAAATTTCTGCTCGATCCGATGAGTCCAGCCTTTTTGTTACCTCGTCCAGAAATGACAGGAGGTTAGTGAAGCACGACTTCATGTTGATAAAGCTGTGTTGTTGGCCTGCTATGATGTGATGTTCTTCCAAATATCCTACCAACCTCTTTATCAGGAGAGGCTCGAATGTTTTCAGGATTACCGGAAGCAGGCCTACTGGTCGGTAGTTCGAAGCAGCTGCCCTTAACCCACACTTGTGGATTGGCACCACTTCTACCATGGTCCGGCCGGACAGCAGTGTTGCTGAGTCCAAGGATCGTTTTAAAAGTTGAGCCAGAGCACCTGCCATGATGTCAGCAATGTGCCACAGGACTGCCGGATGCACCCCATCCGGGCCCATGGCCTTGTCCTGGTCTATGTGTCTCCGTGCTGCTTCTACCTCCTTTGCCCCTAAGAAAAAACAGTTCCATGTGCTGTTCTGGGAGCCAGTAGGTCAGGCAATGGCTTTCCCAAGATCTTCATGTGAACGTTCTCAAAGAAGCTCTTTTAAACTTCAGCCTTCTTTTTGCGCTCAGCCGCACCAACGCCTTTTGCACTTACTACATTACCTACTGCTTCCCGAGAGTGGGTCTATGATTGCACATAGTTATGGTAGGCTTTTGGGTGCTCGTTAGCATTGCGAGCAATCCTTCTTTCATACGTCCTCTGGCATTGTCTCTGTACCTCAATAGCCGATTCTCTCGCCACCAGATAGTACAGGTGCTGTCAGTGGCCTCCCATGCTCCGGGGTCAGGTCCTAGCCTTCCGCTTTAAGGCTTATGCCCTGACGACGTTTAGCCCACCAAGGCAGCCCACTCCTTCTTCTGACCCTGCTAAGGGAAGCAGAACGTCCGTGAGCCGAGTAATGCATTCCTTGAATGACTGCCACTCCTGCTCACGGAGAAGATGCCGTCTGTTGATCACTGGATTGCCTCTGCTGCTTGCCTGAGCGCCGGCACATCTAGATTCCTAAAGTCTCTCCTGAACTTGTGTAGTGCCGGGGGAGGATTTCCTCTGATGTGGAACCTGAGTACTCCGTAGTCGCTTCTACCTAGAGGGAACGATACCCCCAGCTGTTCCAAATCATGTGATGGCTTAATCAGCACTAGGTTCAACATGCTGGGCCTTCACCCCTACCGCCACCTAGTGGGTTGGTTGAAATACTGCACCAGGGGTAGCAGTGTGATCAAGTCTACTAGTTTTTCACCAAAACCAGAGATTGGGGCCCTCAGGCTTTTCCACTCTACCTTCGAAGTGTTTAAATTTCCTATGTTGACTATCCGCTCCGCGTGATTAATCACCCTGGTTAGATATTCGCATAGTTGGCCATCCTCCTCCTCAGCTGAGAGTGGTGCCCTGTAGATACAATGTAGATACAGTCACTAAACAGTTAGGAGATTGTATGTTACATGAGCACTCCTGGATATTTAGTGTGAAGATGTGCTCAATATCAAACTGATCCAGGGTGCCCGAAACAAGAAGCAATGCTCCACCTCCCCTTTCAGACCTGTACGCCCATTACCGGATAGTTGCAGGCTCTCCGTTGCAATGATTCCGTATAGTCATGTCTCGACAATCACAATACAGTCTGTTCCTACGGCTTTGACCCTTAGTTCTCTTCACTTGTTGCCTAAGCTGAAGGCGTCCGTGTAGAATGCTGATAACCTCCCAGCCTGAGCCCCCTTCTTAGCATTAGTACCACAGGAGTCTAATGTGCAATCGGGCAATCTACTCGAGTGTTATCATCGTTTGTTTTCGTTCGCATACTCTTGGCCCTCGGTCGCTGAGGCACCGCGGTTGGGGTGACGGCTACACTAGCCCTACGAGTCACCGTAGCCTACAATGTTTTACCAGTCCCCGACTGAGAAGGAACATTTGCACTCGGAATATCAGGCCGGTCCATTCGAACAGCATTATCGTCCGCCCTACTGGGGTGGGTCTTGGGCATTCTTCGTTGCGGTGTTAGTGGTACCGTAGCTGAGCCAAATCTGGGAGTGGATATGGTACGTTGAGCAGTTATTGCCGGGGACTGATGCTGCCTCTACTAAGCTCTATCAGGGGTGAGTTACCCCAGGATCCGCACTGTTTTCTTTTCATTAGTTATATATGTCGGCGAAGGCCAGCATGCACAGAGGCTTTGTTCGGTTCCACTCCGTCCTGGTCGTCTGACTCTTTAACAGTATCAGTGCCATATTTTACAACGAACGTCGTGAGGCATGCTGGGGTGCACGATCATTGTGTACAATAAATGGTAGAACATTTGAGTCGACAGAGTTAATAAGGTTGAAAAACAGCGGAACGCGATTGCGTTTGCGTGCGACAAACAGAGAGAACCGCAAAACGAGCAACGGATATTTGGTTCATCCAGGAATCGATCAAAGAGAAGGTGCGCAAAGTGGCACATTTCTGACAGTTTGTAGTTCTGAAGATAAGGGGATATGGAGAAGAAAAATCACAGAGTCGAAATTGGAATAATTGAAAATGTGTAGACATGTCAATTAGTTTTCTTATTCATCATTGAGTTCGATCAGGGACGAGAAATGAAAACGGCGAGTATCGGACAATGTAAAGATAACAAACGTTGATCATGTGGAGGTGGACAGTGGCAAAGCCTGAATGTGTGAAGGTTTTGAAAACATTTTTGTGTATGTATGTGCTGGGGGTTTGTGTTTGGAAAATGTGGTTACATAAAGTCATGCCAGTACGACTAGCTTCTGAGTGATATCACTGTTTGGGTGAGGATTTTCGGGTCAAGACGAGGAGAGGTGGTTTCAGACCTCGCCAGGTCTTCCATCATCGATAAAAGCATCACAGGGCATAGAGCCACTGCGTGTGGGCCTGTAGACTCACATTGAGTTTGTTTAGTGAAACGGTTCAGCCGATAGGAGATTTCATAGGATCCAGCTTTTGGTTGGTTATACTTCAGTTTTCTTCACTGTTGCATATCGGACCTATCCGACGGAAGTTGCCGTTATTCTGACAGCAGCAGATCTCGGAAAAGGAAGCCGAAAATAGGAAACAGTCTAGGTAGGCTCCTAGCTGATAAGAGGGGGAGAGAAAGTATGCGTGATATCGTTCAACCTAATGCTGCAAGTATAAGACAGTCAGGGAAATGGAAGATTTAGTTGAAACAATTACATAGCCTCGACTAATTGCCACTAGATAGACCTTGCAATGAAGAAGGAAATAAGAATGGCGATTCTGAGTTGGCTCTTTGGCGTCAAAACAGATTCGTTGATGAAAAGATGTAGAGGAAGCAAAGATGATAAATAACAGCAAGAGAGAATATGACTTTTGTGTCCCAAATTAAGTAGGAAATGAGGACACATCGCGAGAAGCAGTAAGTTTATTGTGAACAACAAATATGTATCTGGTACACAAACCGGCGAACAAGTAGCAGCGATGAGCGTGTACAAAGGCAGGCAGGAATGCAGAGTCCGGCTCACACGTCGCAGTACATGCGAATGCCGTAAAGTCAGCATTCAAGCAGTCAGTCAGTCGAATAACCGATCGATCGATCAATCCACATTGACCACAGGCATGCATGAACACAAATCACTCAGATGTAAGCCATGGAACTGACTAAATTTTGGAAACATTCAGCAGGCAAAACACTAAGGAGGAGAGGACCAGGTGATCGGGAGGAGGTCAGTTTAGGAGAACAAACAAGGTTTTACGAAAAGCATTTTTTCTCAGTAGCCCGCATCCACAGGCAACTGTCGCGTTACCATAAGCTATTGTCCGCGATACCGCGGGATATGCTAAACAACTTCAGGGATATATATATGTATATATATGAATATCCCCGCACACAATTCTTAAGACGTGCTCAAAGAAGCCCTCCTCCGTCGTATAGTCCTTTCTGAGGAGAAGTGAATCCCGCTTTTACTATCTGAGATACAGCTGGACAACCTCAAGCCGCCCCAGTTACGGCGACAGATGTGTGCGTTTGTGGGCAAAACAAGGTTGGACGACTCTACACTACGCCGTATCTGGATCCAGCGGCTCCCGCCCTACGTACAGCGTATACTTAACATTTTCGCCCACGCCCATAACCTGGACCAACTGAGACTGTTGACTAAGCCATGGAACATGCTCAACTCTTTCAACCCTCAATGATGAATACCGTTAGTCCTGAACCAACCATCGTTCAACAGACGCCCTTTAATCCTACCATCGTTAAGCTTCAGTAAGAGCCCAAGAGAGAAATGCAACTTCTCTCTAAGCAGTTGGACGACCTGTGACTAACCATGTCTAGTATATAGACCACCATAAACAATCTGCAGCACATACACCAAACCCGAAGTCGTTCCCGGTCAAGCAGCAGACACAGGCGAACCCCATCCAGAGGCTATTATCACAGACGCTTCGGAAACCAAGCTAGGAAGTGCAAACCACTGTGTTGGTTCAAAACTCAGCAGGGAAAATAGCAGGCCGGCAAGTCACTGTGACAACCTCAACCGGCTCTTTCACCCCTTGCAGTCTCTTTTTTATGTCGTTCGCTTTGACCAGAATTTTGGTGTGCAGCTGAATGCACTGTGTGTTTGTGGGGGGGGGGTATCCGAATGCGTGAGTGTTGTTTGCAGTTAAGGAGGCAGTACTTCTGTGCCCTTACCCGACTCCGGTCTACTACTGCGAGTGATTACTCGAGAGGAATTCTCCCGCCGCACCACCTGTATGTTTCATTTCTCTTTTTGATTTCTTTCTTTTCTCTGTTTTCAATCTTTCCTTTCTTTTCTTCGTTTTCTCTTCTTCTCATGTTTTTTTTCCGTAATCGTTTGACTGGATACCTCAAAATTTTGACGGCTCCTGCGGTTGGGGCCTGGTGGGTAGTCTTCATTTTGATTTCTCATTATTACCGCGACCGACAACAAGGGGCGTTAGGAGCCGACCCGTGTTTATCCTATCAGCGATCACCCACTTTCTAGTGTTCCTCATATTATTGTCTAACCGGCGTAGTGACCAACCAACTCCCATTCTACCTGCACTCATCCTCCTTTGCATCTCATTGTTTTACCACACGAAAGCCACCTCTTTGGTCAGCACGTGTTTGCTTTCTTTTCCGCACGCTTGGGAACGCTTCCTTATCTCCCTGTTGCTCTGCAGGTAATGATAATACAACCGTCCTTTGCTTCGTGAATTGTTTCGTTCTGTTTTTATACGAACTTTCGTTTGCGATGTAGACGTATGAGCTCCGAGCGTGAATAAGCCAGTACCAATACCAGTGGGTTTTTCATTTTTTTTGGTATAGGTTTCTTCTGGACCATTAATATAAAAATCTTGCGGTATTGCTTGGATTTGGTGTGTCCAGGAATGGATGAGTGTTTTATCAATTCACTTCAGTTCAGTTCTCACAGGACGAATTGTGGCTCTCAATTATCGTGCCCCCAATTCCTTGTGTTGTCGGCGGTTTCGGTGGCTTCCAACACTTCGAAATAATAGTGTTTTCTGAAAGGCAGAATGTTAGTGTGAAGTATCGGATTAATTAAAATGTTTTCGAGTGTGAAGCTTAACGATGACCTCTCAAAATTCAACTTCGGGAAGTATTACTGCCCAATGTACGTCAAATAATTCGCACTTGAGTGACGCGTAGCCGAACCGATACGAATCCCGAATTAGCGACAACCAATTCGCACTTCAGTGACGCGTAGCCGAACCGATACGAATCCCGAAGTAAAAACACAATTAGATCCGCAATGTTCTACGGTACTGAATTAACGAAATCATTACAAATGTACAATAAAGCAAGCCTCAAATATGCGGCCAAGAATACTCAGGC